TCCAACCACATGTTCTACCAGTTTTTTGTGTAGTGTAGAACTACAATCCACAATCACTGCAAACAAAGTTAGTGACATTGTTACTGTGCCTAAAAAAAGAGACTGAGCAGTCTCTACATACAGTATCAGTAAAAGCTGTACCTGTAAAATGTAATAAAACATGCATGCAGAGAAGTTAATAATATGATGGATCTGGATCTATCAATCACATGACCTACAACAGATTATGTAGCACAGTTATTTAACTGCAAACACTAAACAGCTAGAATATAAGTGACACTGAAATACTAGTGACACAGAGACATCCCAACTATAAAAAATTAACTGTGTAAGAGACTACTGTTTAGGTTTTAACCACTGAATAGCAGGGAGATTCACTCGCAGAGGTCCCTGAATATTCTGGTGTACCTGCTGTTAGGATGAAGCATCTGAACCAAAAATATCCACTACATACCTTGACGGATGTGTAATCGATTTCATTACATGGAAGATGCTGGAAGTGATCTACATTTTCTGCCAGACACATGAGGGTTACGGGGGTCTGCACCTGGAAATTGCAACGAGGTTAAACGCTGCTACGGCTGTCGCGGCACCTACCTCATCGCTCTGATGCAGGGGCATCCTGGCTGTTCAAAGCTCCATATCCTGAGGAGCACATGCGACATTGTTTCGTTCAGATTGCGTGTCCTAGCGAGAGTTACTACAGAATATTCGTGGCCTCTTTCGAGTGATCTCCCTGAGATCCTTAAAATGATCAGCTATTATATCATATGGTTTTTCATTCTTTTATAGGGTTCAACTAAGAGAGTTAGTTTAGATTCTCTCTCATTTTAGCAGTCTGTACAATACTGACCAGTTTGGTTAATATATTGTCCAGGAAGGCAGTGGAGTGCGGTGTTGCTTTTCTGCAGTTCTTGCCGTGTGTTTCTATACAGTAATACCCCGACAGAGGCTCACACAGAGCGTCTGCAGATGACTGACATTCTTGTTTTGTTCTTAATCCATACCTGAAGAAAGAAAATGAATATAAAGAATAATAAATAAGCAGGTATGTTCTTTTAAATGACCCCTAAAACAGCTCATAGGTAAACAGTTTATATGTTTTTCAGCTCCATAAGCTGAACTCCCATCCTAACTTTGAGAGGGTTCCTATGAAATAAATTGCTGCATAGCGATTTCAAAACAAACAACAAAAAAACAACAAACTTTATAGATCTTTTAAAGGTACATAAGGTGTGGCTCCTGTAACACTGACAGTATAAAGGAATGCACACTATTTAAGAGTAAAACATATTTAATCATTTATTTTAACCCTCCCGCTATCCAGTTTGACCCCAGCAATTAAAACCACTGGAAAATATCAGAGTTCTGGGGGAATTCCGTTTTCCCCTCCTGTCATGGAACTATCTTGGCTCTTGCACTACAGGTTTGGTTATGTTAGGCTAGAGTCCTAAAGCAGAGGGAAGTTTTTGAAGATTATAAAATTGCATGTCACTTAAACAACCAAAACGAATGTGTGTAAAATGTTGATGTTTCTCATGTTTTAAACAGCTAAACCGCCTGGGTTCAACACTGATGTGTACAAAATGTGTACAAGACACGGAAAACATCATGTTAATTGTATGTTTACTCATTTGTCCCCATCAAATAGGAAAGGTCATTAAATATGAAGCAAAAAAGTGTCAATCATTTATTTACAGATGATAAACACTGAATAGGGTCAAATTAACCCCGAAGATAATAGAAGGGTTAAGAATAAAAAGGCTAAGACATTTTTTGCATAGAGTTTTTTCCAAAGTGTTATAGCAAAAAAGTTACAGGAAATAAAATCTTTACCTTCATCACACACAGTGCAGGAGAGCACTTTATCAATCCACTTGGAAAATCAATGTATGTGGACTGACTGCATTGCACACACGTTGTGCTGGAATCTCCTGAGCAGTGTTTATATACACGGTGTCCTGAAACACAGCAGTCCACTCTCAAGCTTACAACATGTACAGTTCTCAACTAAGTCAGTGACTATGCTTGATAAATATATTGCATTGAACATAAATGTGAATATTTCACTCGTATATGCTGTTACAGAACCACTGCAATGTTCCCACATTGTTATTTACAGCTTCATGAAAATAGCATCATAAAATCTAAATCTAATAAAAATGTGATGTCTTACCTGCAGAACACATTGGGCAGCACTCGCCATTAATTTCGTACTCAGCACTACCACACGCTCTGCAGACCATTATGGCAGTGAGTTTTAATATGCTAAACTTATGATGAAGGAATCATATAAGAGCATGGCAGTCCCCTCTCGCGGGAAGGAAACTGTTTTTCTGAAGTACACTGAAAGAGACAAAAAGAAAATGTGATGATGGAGGCAAAAAGAAGCAGCTTCTCAAAATGAAATGAATCTCATTGCACGTATCTGTGAACACAATAATGAAAATAAAAGCAGTTTTGTCAGCAAGATTTTAGAAAGTTGATCAGCTTATATATCCTCAGAGTCCATCTGTCTGAAGCTCTCACCCCACCCACGCTTGACAGCTTCACTCAGAAAATGACATTTTAATCAGTGAGATTTGATCAGAAGTTTTAATCAGTGTCACTGTTATTATTATTATTATATTATTATTATTATTATTATTATAATGCTTAAACCTGGGCCAGGATTCATTGGCTGCACACCACCCCCCACCCTCACCCCCACCCCGCCACATAAAAATAATGTTAATT